AAAAACACTAGTCTCAAGGACGATTCCATTACTCATGCACTGTCTAGGTAAGTCATAAATTTTCTTTAGTGTGCAGAATATTTTTTATGCAAGCGGTTTCTTTTTTAAACTGAAATTAGAGTGATTAAGAGTCGTCTAATCTAAGTAGGCGTTGAAAGCTTTGTCCCGTAGCCTTTGACGTCAAATTAGCTCCATCACTGTTGTATTTTATTTTGTTATTATATTCTTGAATTATTATTGAAATATTCGAAGTACGATGCTATGATTTTAAATCTGGAAATGTGATTTAACGTTTTTGTCTCCGGCCCTGCTGCAATAACTTTCGGTAATGTTTTGATTTTCAGTCGAATGCACTAAATAGACAACGCTGATAGACGATGAAAACTTTTACTGCTTAATGATGCATTTCGCTGCTATGCTGATGTCATCAGGATTCGCCTTATCTACTAAAAACAGAAGTGGAATGTTGAACTATCCATCGATCCTGCCATTTTCAGGACCCACATTTCCATTCACCCCATGGGACAGCGGGCTCAGGACTTTTCGCCACTGTTGGGCCTTGAGTCTCGAATTCTGCCAGAAACTGGTTAGAGACAACTGCTCTTTGGTCGAACGGCCAAAAAGGACCTAATGAAAGGCGTTCAAAGACTTGGTACGATTGCATCAAGCACCTTTCACCCACCTCCTGAACCTACCGCCTGAGGTCGACTTCATGGCTATAGACAGACAACAATTTTCGTAATTCCCGTCGCGCTACTCCTGCGATTGCTGAGTTAGCAGTAGAACGGTCGCTGGTTTAATTCCGAACCAGTGCTGTCGCCTATCGTTTTTACAGTGACTAATATTTCTGAACGATGCAGAGATTGTATATCTGCCGTACAGTTATAAAGGCTGTTTTTATACATATGTAACTCCTATTTGATTCTGTCGAAACCGAAGTTAGGACTTCTCCATAAGCTTTGTGAAACAAAGGGGTTATAAATAGTCCCCTGAAAAAGTTGGACCCGGCTTTTATATCATTCTGACGCTATAATTTTTGCATGGAGTCGTGACTTTTAATGTTTAACTTCAGTGCATGCGCTGGTCTGGCAGCGGCCTCGGTTTCAACCCCTGCTGACGTCGTGAAAACGAGGATCATGAATCAAAACATTGGCAAATACGGAAGGTTAGAGTCGTTCAGTTTATAGAAGTGTCGTTGACCAAATTTTTAGTGGTGAGCTTTATAAGTCTTCAATGGACTGTTTAATGCGAACAGTGAATAACGAAGGCTTTTTCGCTCTGTATAAAGGGTTTATTCCTATTTGGGCGAGAATGGCACCATGGTCTTTAACGTTTTGGGTTTCGTACGAAAAAATCCGAAACTTAGTTGGAGCTCCAAGTTTTTGAGCCCTTAGTATCAATGATACCTCCCTGTATGATGTTTCAAAATGATTGTCAGGTTTAGTTTATTTGGAAAATGGATTGTTCTTCATATAGATTGAACTTCCTTTCCACCGGTGTATTCACGCCTCTACAACGAGTTTTTCTTTTTTTGCATAGTACTAAGTGCTCATAGCTGTGTTATTTGTTGATGACTGAGGACATATCATTCGTTTATCTCGTTTCTAGTGAAGTTTTGCAATATGTCAACTTGAAACAGATTTAAAAAGCTTCTAGAACTTGTTCATTAGGTTAGAGACACAACGCTGATCGGTGTTTTTTATGAAACGCTTTCTAAACGACGCATCTCATGCTAGGCTTCCCTAGAATCACCTAACAAATGACAGCGAGATAGACCGCTGATGTATGACGTCGTTTACCTCGCTAGCAGCGGACAGATACCGCTATGACCCTGTACGCTACGGTGTTTCAGTAATATTTTTTTCCACGAAGAATCATTCAGATGTTCTGTGCAAATTGTTTTTCCTGTTAGATTTAATGATAAGGTAAACAACGAGGAAAATAACACTAGTTTATCTTAATATTTTATCTTTTTCCTTACAAAAATTGCCATGCATTTGTCAATTGTTAATGTGTTTGCTGTTCCTTATGTTCTGTTTGGAACCGAATTTGTTAAAATGCACGAAGTCCCTCTTACGATTTACATGGCATCAAGAAAAGTTTATTTGAAACGATTATCTTAAGAGGAAAAAAATCCTTGTGTCACTCTGTGTATACACACGCGCAGTTTGGTGATAAAAATACGGGTCGAACTGATATAAGAAAAGAAGTGGAAACTGTCTTGTGGATAGGACGCACTGAACACGTTATATTATTGGTGACAAGAAGAACGAAACCGAACGCGAGAAATTTATCATATGGAAGAACACTGATACGAAAGTAAACGTAAAGTTTTCAGCAAGTAGGCAGGGATAATAGGCAAACTGTTGATCATCAATTTGTCAGAGTCCGGCATGAGAAAAATTCAGATGTTGCCTATATGCCTTATTTAATCATAATGACATTTTCTGTAAAACTGCCCGCTCTCTTATCCCAGCATTTCTTTTTCTGCAAAATCCAAAAAGGCTTAGTTTATTAATCTCTTCAATTATGCCAGTACGTTAAATAAGGTATTTGGACACCGAATTTAAGGATCTAAGTATGAGGTATCGTTTATGATTGATTGCGAACGTGGTTTGAAGGATAGTGGCACCGAGGAAATCGTTTAAGGCAAAAAAATCTCCGGACTGTGTTTTGGTGCAACCGCACGATATCTGGGTAGCGATCCGATCACCTATGATCATTGCAGAGTGTATGCGGTTCTGGGAGGGTCGTGCCAAAGCTTGATCGAGTCTTACGCGTTCTCCACTGCTTGTCGATGCTGTAAGAATTTGGCACGATCCAAATGATAGCTTTCTAAATCCGTTTAAAGTTTTAATACATTAAAAATTAAAAATATTATCAAGCATGTGTTTTAATTGACATTGTGGCATTCGCCAGTTCTCTTTTTATTGCTGCTCTGAAGGCGGACTGAACGTAGACTGAAATTCCAAATCATAGTCATGTTTTTCCTGTTCAACATCTTTAATGATTATATCCCTCAGGATTGCATTTCGATAAGGATTTTCTGTTAGAACGTAAATATTCATACAGTCAATATCGATTACTTCG